AATGAAATGGGGTAAAGGAGGGGTTCGGGATATTGGCAGTTTGGAGGGATATGTTGTGTATCTTTATACTTATATATGTGCCTAAGCTGTTGTGTTCTGAGCACCTCTGCAACAACAGTGATTATGTGTGAGTGAGGTAAAAGAGTTGAATTATGATGAAAGTATTTTCTTTTTGGGGATTTTCTTTCTTTTTGGGTCACCCTGCCTCGGTGGGAGACGGCCGACTTGTTAAAAAAAAAAAAATAACATATCCCTCCAAACTGCCAATATCCCAAACCCCTCCTTTAAAGTGCAGGGATTGTACTTCCCATTTCCAGGACTCAAGTCCAGCTATATAAAAATAACCTGTTTCCCTGAATCCCTTCACTAAATATTACCCTGCTCACATTCCAACAGCTCGTCAGGTCCCAAAAACCATTCGTCTCCATTCACTCCTGTCTAAGACGCTCATGCACACTTGCTGGAAATCCAAGCCCCTCACCCACAAAACCTCCTTTACTCCCTCCCTCCAACTTTTTGAGGGACCCCTACCCTGCCTTCCTTCCCTTACAGATTTATACGCTCTCCATGTCATTCTACTTTGATCCAGTCTCTCTAAATGACCAAACCACCTCAACAACCCCTCTTCAGCCCTCTAACTAATGCTTTTATTAACTCCACACCTTCTCCTAATTTCCACACTTGAATTTTCTGCATAATATTTACACCACACATTGTCCTTAGACAGGACATCTCCACTGCTTCCAACTGCCTCCTCACTGCAGCGATTTACAACCCAAGCTTCACACCCATATAAGAGAGTTGGTACCACTATACTCTCATACAGTCATTTCTTTGCCTACATAGATAACATTTTTTGTCTCCACAGATACCTCAATGCACCACTTGCCTTTTTTCCTTCATCAATTCTATGATTCACCTCATCCTTCATAAACTCGTCCACTGACACGTCACCTCCCATATATCTGAAAACATTCACTTCTTCCATACTCCTCTCCAATTTGATATCCAATTTTTATTTATCTAAATCATTTGATACCCTCATCACCTTACTCTTTTTTTATGTTCACTTTCAACTTTCTACCTTTACATACTCTCCCAGACTCGTCCACTAACCTTTGCAACTTTTCTTTAGAATCTTCCATAAGCACAGTATCATCAGCAAAAAGTAACTGTGTCAATTCCCATTTTGTATTTGATTCCCCATAATTTAATCCCACCCCTCTCCCAAACACCCTAGCATTTACTTCTTTTACAACCCCATCTGTAAATATATTAAACAACCATGGCGACATCACACATCCCTGTCTAAGACCCACTTTTACTGGGAAGTAGTCTCCCTCTCTTCTACACACCCTAACCTGAGCCTCACAATCCTCATAAAAAAACTTTACAGCATTTAGTAACTTGCTACCTATTCCATAGACTTGCAACATCTGTCACATTTCTCCCTTATCCACTGTATTATATGCCTTTTCTAAATCCATAAATGCAATGAAAGCTTCCCTACTTTTATCTAAATACTGTTGACATATATGCGTCAGTGTAAACACTTGATCTACACATCCCCAACCCACTCTAAAGCCTCCTTGCTCATCTGAAATCCTACTCTCTGTCTTACCTCTAATTCTATCAATAATAACCCTACCATACACAGTTCCTGGTATACTTATAAACTACTTCTATAATTTTTACAATCTCTTATGTCCCCCTTTGCTTTATGTAAAGGAACTATGCATGCTCTCTGCCAACCCTGTGTACCTTCTCCTCTTTCATACATTTATTAAACAAAAATACCAAACACAATCAAGTAAATTTAATTTTATGAGTAATGAGGGTTATAGGTAGTAGGTTGGTAGACAGCAACCGCCCAGGGAGGTACTACCGTCCTGCCAAGTGAGTGTAAAACGAAAGCCTGTAATTGTTTTACATGATGGTAGGATTGCTGGTGTCCTTTTTTCTGTCTCATGAACATGCAAGATTTCAGGTACGTCTTGCTACTTCTACTTACACTTAGGTCACACTACACATACATGTACAAGCACATATATACACACCCCTCTGGGTTTTCTTCTATTTTCTTTCTAGTTCTTATTCTTGTTTATTTCCTCTTATCTCCATGGGGAAGTGGAACAGAATTCTTCCTCCGTAAGCCATGCGTGTTGTAAGAGGCGACTGAAATGCCGGGAGCAAGGGGCTAGTAACCTCTTCTCCTGTATATATTACTAAATTTAAAAGGAGAAACTTCAGTTTTTTCTTTTGGGCCACCCCACCTCAGTGGGATACGGCTGGTACGTTGAAAGAAGAAGAGTAATGAGGGTGTGTCTTGTCTGGAACTTAAGTGAGTGATCATTCTGACAACTGATTTTTGTTGAGTATTATGGGTTTTTGATGATTTTTTATTGTTGATCCCCAAGCACATACCGAAAGAGAAGTAAGGGTAGATTAGAGAGCATTTCAGAGTGAGTAAGGATATTTTGAAGTACATAGTGTAATTTTAAAAGTTTGCCCACTGTTTTGGGAATTGTCTTAGATATGTGCTGGATGTGAGTGTTGAATTTTGGTTTGCTACCAAGATTGATATCCCTAAGATTTCTGCCTTATCTTTTTTTCATTGTTTATTATTTACCTTTATGTTCAATTGAATAATTCTAACTTTGTTTCAACCATTATATAAAAGTCATATCAGTAGTGGGTGCCAGTTTATTAGTTGCCATCCCAGGTGATTTCATTAACAGTATTATTGAGGACAACTGGAGGTATAGTTCAGAAGTCACGTCCTCTGCAAATAGAATGATTAACTTATTTGAAACCTTTAAAAATAAAAAAGAATAAGAGGATAACAAATACCAACCAATTTTTGCATAGTGATACAGGTAGTTTACATGAATAAAAATGTAAAAGGGGGATATTAGTCTCATTTGTGGATTAGGTTGTAGCACATAATAATGCCATCGCTGTGTGTGTAGTGGGCTAGGCTGGCTGCAGCATATGGTATATAGATAATACAGAACCTTTATTGTGTGAAAGACAGCCAAGGTGTTAAAAAAAGTAAATGCATCATCCCTATTTTGAGTCCATTACCAAGTTACCAGATATAGTAAGCAGGCACATGTCATCCCTGATAACATTATGTATTAATATATATTCTGAATTTGTGAAATTTTACTTAAAAACTAAATGCCAACCTGGATTTTTTCATGGGATTTCTTGGAGAATAGTTGTACATGCAGTTCTGCACAATAGCTGGATAACTTAACAGAAAAGACTGCTTCATATACAGTAGGGTCCCACTTATACGACAGGTTAGGTTCCAGGCTACTGCTGTAAAGCGGAAATTACCGGAAAGTGGAACACCTTTTTTTCCACTTATAAATGCATATAAATACTAGATAACAAGTTTAAATTAACATATATTAAGTTAGCAATAGAACTAGGCATTAAAAAAAATAAAAAATTAAAATACACATATAGTACACTCATTACTTACCTTAAAATATTTGTAGTCTTAATCTAGGGTGAGATGAGTAGTATTTATTGTAAGAAATCAAGTGTGGTATGTATGGTAGCCAGCCTGGCTGCCATACCAGGCTAACCCACCCACACATAATATTCTATGACATTTAAGCATCCCAGAGCGATAAAATGCATATACAGTTCACTCATTACTTACCTTAAAATATTTGCACTCTTAATGTAGGGTCAGAGGTGAGTAAATGAGAGTGAGAGAGAATGAGTACATGAGGTAGGACACTCGTGGAGTTATGTAAACAAACCAGGCGAATGCTAGTTTTGTAAACAAACGAAGCAAACACGTCTGGTTTGTGTACAAGTTGTCTCTATGTTGATACAATAGAATAAATAAAGAGGAACACTCCTATTCTCATGTAACACCATTTTTTAGAAGAAATGACACTCTGAGTGAAGGCATACAAAAGGAATAATTTTATACAGTTACCCCCAGTAACACATTTTCTCTTATGTTGGACTAGAGAAAACGTTATTCTTGCCATCACTTGTACAAGTTGCCTGGTTACTACATGTCATATTTATGTTTGTTTATTCTACTGTAGGGTGTATTTATCATCTTTATATGTTATGTATCGTGTTTATTATATAATTTTGAAGAAAAAAATCGTAGATGGATTAATGAAAACATGTATATTAACGTAATATACAACATTTAATGAGACTCACTGATTATTATTGAGTATTATTATCATTACTAATATGGCGTCACTCATACAAGTCGTCTGGCTACCACATCTCATATTTATGTTTATTTATTCTACTGTGGGGTGTATTTATCATCTTTATGTTATGCATAGTGTTTATTATATAATTTTGAAAAAAATATAGATGGATTAATGAAAATGTGTATACTATTAACGTAATATACGACATTTAATGAGACTTTGTGGTTATTATGATTATCATCATTATTAATATGGCGTCTTGAGACATAAGACACTCTCACTGATTTTAATGTGTACCTGCATGCCAGCACAGTGTGTAGTTTATTTAGGTACAGGTATACATAAGTATAATTATCAGAGTATATATAAAATATGAAATAACTTTTAAAAACACTTGAAATTTTGGAGTTTCCAGATATAATGGAGAGAATTGGTGCTTACTGAGCTCATGAGAATGTAAACAAGTTGGGTGGGCCACGGTGACCGTATTAGAAAGTCAGGTGGGGGGAGTCCTATAGCAAGTTTTGGTCATAATTTGAAATGTCCGTATGAGCGGAACACCATAAAGTGAAGTGCCGTAAAGCAGGGCCCTACTGTATGTAATTTTTTTTTTTTTTTTCTACCTTTAATCTTGCTTTGGTTCTTTTACTCACACTCCCAAGTGCTCATATATTACCTTTGATTTGACCAGGAAAGTCAAGTTCTAAACTCTAGTATTATATTTAGAAAGCTTTAAAATAATGTCACTGATATTAACTTATAATGTTGTCCAAATTCATTCATTCATTAGACTGTTTCATACAGGAAGCTAGAACAAATTACAAGAAAATTCAGGACCAGGTTGAGGAACACAAAGTGAACATAGTCAAATTTAGTCAAGATAAAGCGAAGTTAGAAGAGACTATTAATGATCTTCATGATAAGGTAAGGTATTCAGATTGATTTTTTTATTTTTTAGGTGATTTATACTTAGTGGTATTTTAATAACATTTTCAATATTTTTTAAAATGTGTGAATTAAATTTTGCTTGTTGGAAAGTGTCACTTAGAGTTTTATATAATACAAATGAGTTGTTACTATTTATTATGTGTTTATATATAAAAAAAGTTTAAAGTGATAGTTTAAAATCTCAGATCTGTTTTTAAAATTTATTATATTAAAAATTTTTTTCATTTCATAACCATGTATGTTAATGTAGTCTGTTTTGCATGTATAGTGGAACCTCGGCTTACGAGTTTAATCCATTTCGTGGCCTTGCTTGTATCCCGATCTGCTCGTATGCTGAGTTAATTTTCCTCGTTTAAATTAATTTAAATGCCATTAATTCATTCCAGCGGAATTTCTGCTCTCTGGAGGCAGGACGAAATACTTGAATATGACTAATATCGACTCTATGGCTTATTTATCTATCACAATTCATCTAATATGACATAATAAACAATATAAATAATATAGAAACCTGATATATACTCGAGACTGAATAAAATATATCATTATGTGGCAAGTGATGGAGGCCATTCCTGCACACCTGCTTGTGTTTATCTATGATTTCATGCTTTACTTCCATAGACATCATCCTCTTTTTCTTCTCAGCATTGTTCTTTGCACTTACTTTCTTAGGACCCATGATTAGAAAAAAGAAATTTGTCAGAATAACTGCACAAAATGTAAGCAAAACATGAGAGAAATCCTTCTACTGCAAGGTGCACTGCCATCCCCTGACACTCCCGACACCACCATCCCAGCTTTCATGAATACGTGTTCAGTTTCGCTTCTCTCCTACAAGCTAGCTATTTGTGAATTGTGTTTAGACTTACTGAATGACTGACTTACTGACTTGTCTGACTGACTTACTGACTTGACTGGATGGCTTACTGACTTACTGACTTGACTGGCTGACTTGCTGACTTGACTGACTGACTGACTTAACTGACCAATTTACTGACTTGACTTACTGACTTTACTGACTTTACTGACTTGACTGACTGACTGACTTTACTGACTTGACTGACTGACTTACTGACTTGACTGACTGACTGACTTGATGAATATTATAATGGGGAAGCACTAAACTCGTAGGATTATAAAGCGCCTCTGGGGGGGAATGGGAGGTATTCTGGTTTAATTTAAAGAACTGGAGCACAGATACAATTTCTAGATCAAGAGCCCCTCACCCCTCACCCCTTTCTCCTCAAGGAACTTCCCTGGAGGGGGAAGCTCGCATCCTGAATTTTTGCTCATATCCAGATTATGTATTGTGGATAAAAGGTTGATGGGTAGGCTCCAGGATGTACACGTTTATAGAGGGACAACTGACATATCGGATCATTATTTAGTTGTAGCTACAGGTAGAGTAAGAGGTAGATGGGAAAAGAGGAAACTGGCAACAACAAGTAAGAGGGAGGTGAGAGTGTATAAACTGAGGGAGGAGGAAGTTCGGGTGAGATATAAGCAACTCTTGGCAGAAAGGTGGACTGGTGCAAGTATGAGCAGTGGGGGGTTGAAGAGGGTTGGAATAGTTTTAAAAATGCAGTATTAGAATGTGGGGCAGAAGTTTGTCGTTATAGGAGGGTGGGTGCAGGAGGAAAGAAGAGTGATTGGTGAAATGATGAAGTAAAGGTTGTGATAAAAGAGAAAAAGTTAGCTTATGAGAGCTTTTTACAAAACAGAAGGTTTTTAAAAAGGTAGAGTACATGGAGAGTAAAAGAAAGGTGAAAAGAGTGGTGAGAGACTGCAAAACGAGAGCAGATGATAGAGTGGGAGAGGCACTGTCAAGAAATTTTAATGAAAATAAGAAAAAATGTTGGAGTGAGTTAAACAAGTTAAAAGAAAGCTAGGGAAAAAAATTTGGGTTTTGTCAGAAAAAAAACGGGGAAAAGGGGAGTTGTAGAAAGGGAGATGGGGGTTTTTGGGGTGATGGCGGAATTTTTTGGGGGAACTTTTAAATTTTTGACTTAAAAGGGAGGGGGGTGATTTCATGATGGACACGGAGGTTTTCCATCTTTTAGAGGGGAAAAACAGGATGTGAATGTGCTGGAGGTGCATGGGGGTTATTTGAATGAAAGGGGGTAAAAGCAGCTGGAAAGACAGGATCATGCAGAAATGTTAAAGCAGGGGGGTAAAAGTGTTGGAGTGGTTGGTTTTTTTTTTTTTAATAAAGTATGAAAGGGGGGGAAGGTCCGTAGATTTTGAGGGGGAGATTTTATGTCCCTTTTTTTTAAAGGGAAGGGGAAAAAAAGAGATTGTTAAAATTATAGGGGGAATAAGTTTACGAGTATCCCCAGAAAAGCGTAGGTTTGGGTTAAAATTTGGGAAAGAATTAGAGGTAAGCCGAATGTAGGATTGGGGGTTGAGAAAGGGGGTTTTTTGGTGGTAGGGGATGTGTAGATCAGTGTTTGCATTGAAGATATATGTGAACAGTATTTAGTAAAGGTGGGGAAGTTTTTATTGCCTTTATGGTTTTTAAAAAAAAGGATAGGGAGAGAGGGGGATGGGGGGAAGAAATTTTTGGCAGTTGTTGAAAGTATCTGGAATAGGGGGTTTGGTTACTAAATGCTGTAAAGGTTTTATGGGGTAGTGAGGCTCGGGTTTTTTGGGGGTTTTGTGAAGAGGGGGGGACTATTCCCATTAAAAGTGGGGTTTAGACAAGGGTGTTTTTTTTCCCAATTGGTTTTTTAATATATTTAAGAGGGGGGTTGAAAAAGAAGTAAATGCTAGGGGTTGGGAGAGGGATTGGTTTTTAAATTTTTGGGGGTTTAAAAATTAAAAAAAATGGGAATTGGCACATTTGTTTTTTTGCTGGTTTACTGGCTTTTAAAAATTTTCTAAAGAAAAATTAAAATGGTTAGTGGACGATTTTGGGCCCCGGGTTGTGTAAGGTAGAAAGTTGAAAGTGAACATAGAAAGGTAAGGTGATGACAGTATCAAATGATTTAGTAAAAAAAAAATTGGATATAAAATTTGGGGAGGAGGAGTAGGGAAGAAGTAAATGTTTTTTGATACTTGGGATTTAAAAACGTGGGGCAGATGGATTTATGAAGGATGAGGAAAATTCTTTAGAATTGAGGGGGGGAAAAAAAAAAGAAAAAAAAAAAAAAAGGTGAGTGGTAGGGTTGAGGTAGTTATGTGGGAAAAAAAAACATTATTATGGAGGCAAAAAAAGGGAAGAAAGCAATTTATAGTAGTCCCAAAACCACTCTTTTGGGTGTGAAGCTTGGGTTGTGAATCCCAGCAGCGGGAGGGGGTTTGGGAAAGGCAGTGGGATGTCCTTTTAAAGGGGGCAGTGGGGGTGGTTGTAAATATTATGCAAAAAAATTGGGAGTGTGGAAATTGGGGAAAAGGGTGGGGGTTTAAATTTAAAATTTATTATCAGGGGTTTGAAGGGGGTTGTTAGGTGGTTTGGTTCATTTAGAGAGAATGGTCAAAGTAAAAATGCATGGAAGCATTTAAATCTGTGGGGAAAGGGGAAGGGCGGGGAAAGGGGTCGTCCCAAAAAGTTGGGAAAGGGAAAGGGGGGAAAGGGGGTTTTGGGGGGGCGGGGGGTTTTGGAAATTCCAGAGGCTTTGTGGGGGAGAGTTTTTCGAAGGAGTAAATGGAGAGAATGGTTTTTGGGGGCCTGACGATCTTTTGGGGTGTGAGCGGGGGCCAATATTTAGTAAAGGGGAAACCCGGGGAAAATTTGGGTTTTATTTTTATTTGCCGGATTTGGAGCCTGGAAATGGGAAGTCCCAATGCCTCCCACCCCAAAAAGGAGGGGTTGGGGCTTGAAAAGTTTGGAGGGGAAATGTTGTGTATCTTCATACGTATATTTTCTAAGCTGTTGGGTTTGAGCATCTGAAAAAAACGTGTTTAAATTTTTTGAGTGAGGTGAAAGATTTGAATGATGATAAAAAGAATTTTTTTTTTTGGGGATTTTCTTTTTTTTTTGGGCCCCCCCTCCCTCGGTGGGAGAGGTTTTGACTTTTTTAAAAAAGAAAAAAAGTTTCCAGAAAAAAAAAAATCGATTGGCAAAAGCTTGTGTTTTCTAAAAAAACCTTTGTGGGGGGGGGCCACTCTTTAAGCAAAAGGTTCCATTTTAACTGTTTGTAAAAACCAGTATCTAAATGAGTTTTAATTCCCAAAAAAGTTATGTTTTTTCAGGTTAATAAAGAAGTATCTATGGGGAGAATTTTTTTCTGGGAAAACAGGGCGCAGAGTTGGCAGCAGGCGAAAAGAACGAGCCAGGCACGGGCCCAAAGCTTTGCTTTTTAAAGGGAATTATACCCCAAATTACAAGAGAGCAGAAGAGTCAAATAAAAGCCCCAAACAGTTTTGGAGGTCAGTGGAAATCTTTTGTTGCTCATTTAAAAGAAATAAGAAAAGGGGAAAGATTTAAAAGGGAACATGATGCAAAAAAAATTTTTTTTTAAAAGTTGTAGATTAACAGAAATTTTTGGTTTCCCATTCAGGGAAATTTTTTTAAAAGCAGAAAACCGGTTTTATTTTGTTGTTGCTTCATATGCCCAGGACATAAATTTTGAGAGGTGAGCCAATTTAAAAGGAAGTTTCAGTAGCAAAGCTTCTCGTGAAACCATTAGGTTTAAAATTTAAGCAATGTGAATATAATTTTTAGAGGAGCACTGAAATTAAGGGGAAAGGGGGCCCTTCCCCTGAGGTCAAAACTCATTTTTCATATTTGTTTAGCCTTTTTCAAGCAAAAAAGGTTGTATTTAAGAATTAGTAAAATTGCATGGGTAGTGGGCCCCTTACGGGAAGTTTTCCCTCTGTTTTTAAATTTTCATGTTTTTATTTAAAGTCTATGGTCCTATGTGGGAATTTTTAGTATACTGAAATTAGTTTTATTTGATTACGGGAAAATTTGTAGTTTGCTTTCTTGCACAAATTTTTTTTACAACTTTCCCTTTGCAGACCATCACTCAGGGCTT